GAAGCACTTCTTATGGAAGTGTAGCTCCAACACATTGCCTGTTAAACATAATCTCTCGAGAAAAGGCATTCCAGTTGATCACATATGCCAATAATGTAGAGAAGATACAGAAACTGTGAACCATCTTTCTTTCCAATGCCCTCGAGCAAAGATGTTATGGGAGATTAGCCCTGTGACTTGGGAGGGGACTTGTGCAGCAGAGACCAATTTCAGAACATGGTGGTGGCAGGTGTGCTCTATAGCTAAATCAGAGGTGGCCGAGGCCCGTATTCAACTCACAACATACCTCCTTTGGTGGCTATGGAAGTCACGCAATCTTTGGCTCTATAGCTAAATTTAATTTTATTTATCCATATGTAATGTGATATAAATATATATTTATATATATGAATTAAATATTTTAAAAAATAACAGTAGGCCAATTTACTATAAATTAAATAATACTAATAATAACTTCCAAAAAATTAAATTAACATAAATAATAAAAAAATTAAATTAAAATAAAGTAAGATAAAATATAATATAGTAGCGTGAAATTAAAATTTAATAAATTTACATTTTAGTTATTAAATAAATTAAATAAATATATTTTAAATGAAAATATAATACAGAAATTGAAAATATATTACAAAAATTGAATTAAAAAATAAATAAAATTAAAATAGACTAATTAAAGTAACATAAAATAAAAATTATAAAAGAAATAAAGTATACAAATGATCAAGTAAAATAAATAATAAATAAAGTAAGTATTATGGAATAATAAATTAAATAAATATAACTATTAAATTCATGTAAATAATTATTGTAAATAAATAATTTTAATTTATAAATTTTATTTATTAAAAAAATAATTTAATATATAATAATTCTAAAATAAATACATTAAATATTATTATAATACAACTATAATTATTTATTTATAATTTTACTTTAATTATTAATATAATAAGTTATTTTATTTATTTTTTATCTTCTAAATTTAATTTTATTTATCCATATGTAAGATAAAATTAAATTAAAATAAATAATAAAAAATCTAAATCAAAACAAAGTAAGATAAAATATAATATAGTAGAGTGAAATTAAAATTTAATAAATTTACATTTTAATTATTAAAATAAATTAAATAAATAAATTTTAAATGACAATATAATATAGAAATTGTAATTAAAGAATAAATAAAATTAAAGTAGACTAATTAAAGTAACATAAAAATGAGATCCCAGAAGGTCCTGCTTAATGAGATCCCAGAAGTGTTTGTAAAAAGTAGAGCTCATTCCCTCTTCCCCTGGAGCTTTATCATCAGGTAAATGAAATAATGTTGACTTCATCTCATCTTGTGTAACAGGTTTGATCAAAGCATCATTCATGTCTGGGGTCACCCTTTGGGGAATAAGGTGTAGAATAGAGTCTCCATCCCAATGTACCTCTGAGGTGAATAGATGTGAATAGAATTCAGAGATGTGTTCTTCCATTTCTGCCTGAGAGGATAAGACTCTCCCTTGAGCTGTGAGAAGCCTTCTTATAGCATTGTGCCTTCTTCTTTGGAGAGTGATAGTGTGAAAGAATCTCGTGTTTGCATCACCTTCTTTGAGCCATTTATGTCTAGATTTCTGTTGTCAAAAAAGCTCTTCATGGAGGTGAGCATCGGTCCCAATTATCATCAGACTTGTCATTTTGGAGTCTCTGCAGTTCTTGATTTAATTCAGCAATGAGAGTTTGATTTTGAGACTGAAAAGATGAGCTCCACTTAAGCAAGGCTATCCTGGTGAATTTTATCTTCTCTTTGAGTTGGTAGAATGGAGTGCCCAACACTGGAGTCTGCCATGCTTTTCTAACAGTTTCTTCAAACCTTCTTTGCCAATCCTCCTTTTGTCAAAGTGGAACCTGGTTTGTTTTTTGACTTGAGGCAATCCTAAGTTCAAAAGTAATGCAGAATGGTCAGAGGAACTTCTCAGGATGTTTGTGATCGAGGCATTAGCATAAGGTTGATGTCAGTCCAAACAGCCAAAACCTCTGTCTAGTTGGTCCTCAATCAGTTCAAAATTAGCCCTATTGTTACACCATGTAGATGGATATCCCTGCATTCTGATCTCCTCCATTTCCATGTCAGCAATAAAGGAGTTAAAAGCCTGAAAGCTAGATGGGCTTCTAGAAATACCTCCTTTTTCTTTCAGCCTTAGAGCAAATATCGTTCCAATCACCAATGGCAAACCAAGAGTTGCCCCATGAGTGTTTCTCAGATAATAAGACTTCCCATTGATCAAGTCTGGTAAGTCTGCAGGGACTTAAATAAACAAAAACACCCCATTGGGGTTGGCTAGAAGAAAGAGAATAATACACAGCAATAAAGAAGTCTTTTACAATCAGATTATGAATTACAACATTTGAATCCCAAAATAATGCTAGACCCCCACTGAGACCTGAGGGACTAATAATAGCTACCCTATCAGCAAATCCAAGCTTATAACTAATAGATTTAACAAAGGAATTTTGTTTTTTGGTCTCAGAAAGATAAAAGAAATATGGGTGGTGAGCTAAATTTTATTCAGCTCTCGCATTTGGGAAATTGTAGAGGGCCCACCCAACCCTCTATAATTCCACACTACAGCTAACATTGGTCAGGGTGGTGCCATTCCAGGCTGGCAACCTCCACCTTGTCCATTTGTTGTTTGCTTTTCTTGTTTGCAGGCATGATCTGTTGGGCTTCTTGTTGAGTAATCAGTTGGTTGTCCTCTTTGTCTTCCATGCCTCTGATCCTTTTCAAAGATAAGACAGGTTTAGTGTTGTCTGAGGTGATTGATTCCCTAAGGAGTCTTCCATCCTTACTTTTATCTCTCCTCCAAGTCTTTATTGGAGTGGCTTCCTTTGCTGTCAGGGAGGTATGAATTCTCTTGAAGATTGAGGAGGTAATGGCATGTTCTACCTCCATTGCTTTACTTGAATCAAAGGTTTGTAAGCAAGATTCTTGAACAGCTTCTTGAGTGGAAGGGTGTGGAGTTGCTGATGTTTTGGAATCTTGGGCTTTGGCCTTTTGAATTTGTTGGAGAGTCCAAAGGCATTTGTAGGGGTGAGCACCGAACCGCACTGAACCGAAAAAACCGAAAACCAAAAATGTATATTTTTTCAAACCGAACCGCACCGACCTTGGAGGAAAAATCGAACTAAAACCGCACCGAAATTTTTAGTTTGGTTCGGTGCGGTTTCACCAACCGAATATAACTAAAAAAAATCCAAAATAAATCAATCTAAAGATTTGTTCTTTCATAACCTACTCCTCATAAGCTCTTCTTCTTTTATTAGATAAATCAAAAGCAGTTCTCGAGCACAATTACACCAAAAATTAGGGTTCTTGGTCACAAAATGAAGAAAGAGGGAGAATTGGAAAAAAAAA